TTTTGCTAAATAGTGAATGATTTATTTCAAAAGATTTTGTTGTTGACTTTATGTTCATGAGGTTAAAAAAAAGTACTTTGTCAGTGAACTGTGGAGCTGGCTTTTAACTGAAATGATCACAAAAAAAGGAGAAGTATAATCAGCCACGAAAACCTTTTGTCTGGAATTATCAATAACTTTGTGTTCTGAGTGCAGGTATGTTCGGGGGGCTGCAGTGACATTTACATATTTGTGTTTAGATAGCAAGATGGAGTTTGCATTTTTAGCATATTTAATCTGGAGGCATTCACATAGATTCAGGAGCTTATATGGTGGAAGGCATTGTTCTAATTTGTACAGTTTCATTTGTCTCTGTAACACCATGTCCTCATTGCAAACCTGTCATAAAATTTCTGATCTGATTACATTTACTAGTTTTACTAACATAAAAATGTTTTTTGTAATTAATGAAAATATACAAGAACTTAGGTTGGTCAACTGAATCTTTTAACACAGATGCAACTAAAGTTGTACATTGCAGGACATGCGCAGTTTGGCCAGGTTTTAAATTTTGCTAGGAGTAGTGGGATTTTCCATCACTCTGATCCCCATAGTAGTTGCGTTCTCACAGACTCTGAGCGTAGGGAGATTTAAGCTGCTAGTTGATGAAGGTACGCCTTACAATTGCAGGACTCATTGTCAAGTGTGGAGGCCTTGTTGCGTAAACATGAGGCGTTTGAGAAAACTCTGGCTGCTCAGGCAGGGCGAGTGGAGGAATTGGAACGGTTTGCAGTGGAACTGCTGGCAGATCACCACTATGATACAGCTGGAATCACGCAGCGTTTGCAGGCAGTCTGTGCTCGCAGGGACAGGCTGAAAGAGAGTGCCATGGCACGAAGAAGGCTCCTGCAGGAGTCGCGCCAGTTGCAGCAGTTCCTACGCAACATGTATGAGGTGTGTAATGTTTTCATTTGCAATCAGTGGTGTGAACTACATGCAGCTAAAGGTCATGTGTGAACAGTATAAACAATGCCACCAGGTGGAAGCATGGCTGCATCAGAAACAACAGGTTGCAAGTGATGAGAATTATCGTGACCCATCGAACCTGCAGAGCAAGATTCAGAAACATGTGGCATTCGAGCTGGAGCTATCTGCCAACCGAGGGCGTGTGGGAGCTGTGACAGCTGAAGGGGAGGCCCTAATTGGTGCCGGCCATTTTGCGGGTATGGAGATCCAGGCACGACTGGATGAACTGGAGGCTGCATGGCATGAACTGCAGGATTCCAGTCATCTGAAACGTGAACGCCTCAATGATGCGTACCAGGTATGATTTTGATCTTGTTCAATTTTAAAAGTCTGTGTTTGTGAAGTGACTACATTGAAGTTCAAGATGGGGTTTGGTGGATTATGTTGAAGTGTATCATAGGGATAGGACAGGTTGTAAAATATGTGAGCAATTTCAGGTTATGGTGAAGTGGTTTTAGTCAGCAGGTAAGTGGTCGGTCTTCTTTCGGAGTGCTGTTATATTGGGGATAATCTGCATTTTATGAGTTCTGCTAAACAGTCTCTCTCCTTGATTGTGTGCATATTCATCTTGTATGATGTGTCTTTTTCATTTATTTACTTTCATTCCTGTCATAACCCATTCCATTCAGTTTCTTCTGTAGTATTGTGCCATTATTTTTATGCTCTGAATCTAGAAGTGCATTAATACGGACTGTTTATAATTTGAGGAACTTTCTTCAGACGATGTACCTGATTCTAGGTGTCTATATTTATTAATTTATATCAATGCATTGTTAATATAGATATAATTTCTGATTCTTTTCCCCATAAATGGAGTATTCTGAACCTGTTTGTCTGTGCTGAGACAGGCGCAGCTTTTCAGTCGTACTCTGGATGAGCTCGAAGTGTGGATGGATGAGGTGGAGCTGCAGCTGCAGTCTGAGGACCATGGCAAAGATCTGGCAAGTGTGCTTCACCTTCTGAAGAGGCACTCTCTCCTGGAGGGAGACGTCAACAGTCACAGTGAGGCCATCGAGCAGGTGAAGGACACTGCGGCAGCATTCCAGAGTTCACATCACTTCATGGGTGCTGAGATACAGGAACGGGCCCTCACAGTCATAAAGAGGTCAGTCATAGCATCATGCTGCTTGAGAAGTGGGTCTAGTCTGATAAGATAAGGGAGAGGTCCGTTGAAATGATGAAATGATCTATCCCCCTTCTACTCGTACCTGTTGGCAAACATTATGTATACATTCCCTTCTACCTGTTGGCAAACATTATGTATACATTTTGTTTAACAGCAAGGTTAGGTGACTTTGTTAGTACAGTAGCAGTTCCGCAACTTTGCTACAGAGACACGACTGCAGTCAGAGCAGCCACCCCCAGGTATCAGAGGACAACTTATTGTGTTCCTGGGATCAAGCAGCAGATGAACACGTGACCATTGAGCTGTCAAGCTTTTAGACCTTTATTCTATTTCTGTTGTGGACTGTCTACTAGCAGAGCTTTATGGATTTAGGCATCAGTTAATCTTGGAAGATTGGGAGTTAGAAGTTAATGTAACGTAGTTTGCCAACCTTATCACTAAACTTATTTATCACATATTGTTCTTCTGGTACTCCTGCACACACAGTTTGTCTTGCCCCATTCATGCAGTGAACCGAGCTGTGGAATTGCTGCGATTTTTCACCAGAAGCAGCGAGACTTGTGCTGACGAAATACAAGTATGAGCCTGACCGTAACAAAGATAAACATCAGCGGGTTGTTGCCATGACATTTTAGATCCGGGTCTGTTTAGTTTATGCCAGATAATTTGTGAGTTACGTCATGTCTCACAGGTATCACTCCCTACAGCAGCCGATGCAGATTCGAAGGGATAATCTGGAGGATGCGTTGATGCTGCACCAGTTCCTGCGGGATGTAGAGGATGAGCTCCAGTGGGTGACAGAGAAACAGCCACAGGCAGCATCCACTGACCTGGGAACCAGCCTCACAGCTGTTCAGAGTTTGCAGAAGAAGCACCAGGCAAGTTAGAACATAAGATACAAACCAGATTAAGTTTCATGAGACATTCAGTCTGCATAATTTTAACCTTAGAAAGAAGAATCCTGAAGCTGTACATCTGTAGAGCATTACAGATTTTTCTGAATCCATTGCTGGTTTTCTAAACCATTCATCATGCACGTCACTGGAACCAGTACGGTTTCTATGTCAGAGGTTAGATGTTAGCATTACCATATTTTATCTGCACATTGTCGATTATCTGTTACTTACCGAGCTAAGAGTTACGCCAGTATAAAAATAAAAAAGCCAAAATTATAAAATGTACTTTTTTTTTAAGACTGGCTGTGTCTGTTTTCATTTGAGAGGCTGCTTACTCTGTGCAGTCAGTTGCTGCTTCTCTTTAAATTACATTGGAATGCACTTCACAGCAACAAGCAGTGTGCAGTTTAACTGGAACATCAGAAAGAAACATCTCTCAAATGAGTCTGTGTGGCAATTATGTAAATTGCTAGGAATAAAACTTTCTTGAAATTAAGAATAAAAAATTTATTTTCTTGGTGGTGGCATTTCAAAACATGGTATAATTTAGAAAACCACACAGAGTGAAATATTTCTGGTATTTTAAGAGGTGATAGTGGGATGTTCAGTTTCATAGGTTAGCCAAACTGTGGCATTGTGTAATTTACCTGTTGCCACAGGCTCTGGAGGCAGAGCTTGTGTCCCGGGAGCCAGTGGTGCAGGCCCTTGTGGGGCGGGCACAGAGGATGGTTCGGAGTGGGCACTTCGCGGCTCCTCGTATTGAAGCCTGCAGCAGCGAGCTGACTGAGAGGCTCGGTCACCTCCGCGACCTCGCCAGTGTGCGGCGCCTGCGCCTCCTGGATGCGGTGGAATCACAGATGGTGGGTGCTGAATGTAACATTAACTTGGGCTAGTTTGTAACCAGTATGGTGGGTGCAGTATTAGCCTCACTCTCTTCCTTCGTGTCACAGTTCTACGCAGAAGCAAATGAGGCAGAGACGTGGATCCAAGAGAAATGGCCTCTGTTAACATCGAGCGACTTCGGAAAGGATGAGGACTCGGTACAGTCGCTGACGAAGAAACTGGAGGGAGTGATGCGTGATCTGAGCCAGTTCCAGCACACCATAGGCAAGTTGGCCAAACTGTCTCTGGGACTGGTGGACCGTGGGCACTTTGACAGCCACAACATCACTACAAAGCAGGTAACCAGTTGGTGTTGACATATTCCTGTGTAGGCAGTGACAGATGTAATGGGTCTATTGCCTAATCCCCAAAGATAAGTAAACATATAACATAGTACAAGAAAAAGAACTTTACTCATTTTGGAAATATAAGTAATTGGAAACCATTTCAGTTTATTGCGTCTATCTAAATTAGTCAGCTAACCTGGGGATTGCTCACATGACCCAAGACACTGCAGGGTACAGGCTCATTTAAGGTGCCATTGCAGGCTGAGATTGAGGCACACTTCTCTGAGCTGCAGTCACTCGCCGCCAAGCGGTCGTCTCGGCTGGTCGAGTCCCTCAAGTTGTACCGGTTCTTGCGGGAGGCTGATGAGGTAGCGGAATGGATGGGTGACCAGACAGCTGTGGCTGCATCAGAGGACTATGGTCGTGATGTGGAGCACGTGGAGCTGCTAATTCAGACTTTTGACTCCTTCCTCTCCAGCCTGGCTGCTAGTGGGGGACGTGTCACATCCTGCCTCTCGACAGGCCGTGCCCTCATTGAAGAAGGGAACCCTGAAATTGAACAAATCCAGGGGAAGCTGGATGAAACACAGCAACTTTGGGAGGACTTGAGGGAGCTCGCGCATGCGCGGCAGGAGGTTAGTCCTGCGTGGGCCATGGAGGTTATGGGGATGAGTTGGTGGTGGTAACTAACCTATTAGTGGTGTTACTAATAGTATTGTAGTATCTTGTTACCCAAATGTATGTAAGAACACTGGCATTAGCAATCTATTTTGTGCCAGAAAGGTGTGTGGTATTTGGTGAATGGAGGAGTCATGAGACCATGGCAAAGTGGGTGAGTGTTTTTTTTTTTTTTTGGGGGGGGGGGGCTCGTGGTTTCAGTGTTGCCCCCACTATACCACTCTGGCGCCTCAGTACGGATCGTTTGTCCTCGGGGTGGTTGGGGTCGGGAGTCTTAGAACACATGTTCGCCCATTCTCCTGACGATGGAGACAATAATCTCCTCCGAAACGTCGGTCAATATTAAAAGAGACTAAACTGTGTAAAAACACAGATAATAGTCATCTCAAATTTGACATGAGATTTTATTCCGTCTCTTAGAACTAAGAGGGGGGGAAATGACAGGGGTTATATTAACTCTTCACCAATAATCATCAGGTTCATGAAATCAAGGCGTTCGAGAAAATGATGAGACATGTGACACTCATGTGTAAAAAGGGAAGCGTGCATACTCGTCGGAGGAAAAAAACTGGAGGACACAGCTCCCTTGGTAGACCTAGGCGTAGATCTGACCTGCCCTAGAATAACCCTGGAACTTACATGGAAGCGCTGGTCTGAAAAGAGTGTTTGATAGGTAGGAACTTTTAAATTGAGGGTTGTGCTTTTGAATTTGAATAAGTTGGGCTGCTTATGCAGAATTCTTGTTTGTTGCAGGCACTTGCTGGAGCAAAACAGGTGCACGTGTTTGACCGCAGAGCAGACGAGACTATCGGGTGGATTCAGGAAAAGGATGCTGCTTTGTCAGCGCAGGGGTACGGGCAGGACCTGGAGACAATACAGGCTCTGGTACGCCAGCACCAGGTGTTTGAGACTGATCTTGCTGCCGTCAAGGAACAGGTGTGGTCTAGTTCATTCAGGGTGATGTTCTTGTGTAAAGTATGTGAGTGTTTTGATTGTGACAGATTCACGTCTTTTGGCAGGTTGAGTCAGTGACAGAGGAGGCTGGACGATTGGCATCGCTGTTCCCAGATGCACGGGAGCACATCGCAGTGAAACATGAAGACACTCTTGAAGCGTGGGAAGACCTCCTAGAGAAGTCGGCACAGCGCCGGGACAAACTGCAACAAGCCGAACAGCTGCAGGCATACTTCGATGAGTACAGGGATCTCATGTTAGTACCTTTTGTGCATGTGGGGATTGCCACAGTACAAACTGTTGAAGTCTTCCTTGTAAGCGTTTGATCCTGTTTACAGGGCGTGGATTAACGAGATGATAGCAAAGGTGACAGCGCCTGACCTGGCCCAGGATGTGCCTGGAGCCGAAGCGCTGTTGGTGCGTCACGAAGAGCACAGGGCAGAGATAGACACGCGAGCTGACGCATTCGCTAAATTCTCTCAGACAGGCCACGAGCTCATAGTAGAGGGCCACTTTCTGGCACATGAGATTGATGAGAAAATCAGCGTTCTGGAGCAGCGGAAGGAGCTGCTGAGTGACACCTGGGCCCGCCGTAAAGCCATCTATGAGCAGAACCTGGACACGCAGGTACTTTGTTACCCAGTTTAATTGTTACAATATTAAGCCATGCCCACTTTATCTTGACACAGGTGGTGTTGCAGGTATTCAAGCGTGAGGCTGACTTGCTGGAGAACTGGATCATATCTCGAGAGCCACTACTGCATGATGGGAAGCTTGGTGAGACAATTGCTCAGGTGGAGGATCTGATACGCAAGCACGAGGACTTTGAGAAGACAATTGAGGCTCAAGAGGACAAGTTCAGTGCCCTGCGACGCATCACCATGGTAGGTTCATGATTTGTGTGCCTGTTGAATAATGTGAAGGTAATTAAATCAAGGAGGAAGAGATGAGTTGGACATATATGGAGATACAAACTTTTGTTATGAATCATTGCGAAGAAAGTGCCATGGTCAGTCTGTGAGAATTGGTTGTGTATTTCAGTTAGAGGAAGCATTCCAAAAGCAGCAGCAAGAAGAGATGGCCGCCCGCCAAGCTGAAAAGGAACGTTTAGAACGAGAACGCATCGAGGCCAGAAAGAGGCGAGAGGTGCAGCGCATTACAGAGGTGTGATCGCTTGTTAATCTTCTCAACCACAGATTCTTGTGATGTGTGGATTTGATCCTGTCATTCCTAGACTGTTTCAGTTATTACTCTTGGATCCAAATTATCATCTCTTTATTTCAGCAAGCTTCTTTGTTCATTGAAAACATATACTGCATCTGGTATGTGATGCAAATTTTTTAATCCATTGAGCTTGTCTGGTTGATATTAATAGTTGAATATACAGAGTTATTACAGATTACTTTTACACTTTCAGAAATGTCACGTAGTTAAGTTCATATGTGGCAGTTTGAATTTCGGATGAGCATCAGACAATTTACCACATTAAAATTTATTCAATATTTGAAGTCGTGCCATCATTATCACGGTCTCTCTTCAGGCTAGACATACAGTTGTTGAAATCCCCTACCTTGTGTCTTCAGGAACGAAGGCGGGAGGATGAACGGAGGAGGACGCAGGAGTCGCGTGGCGTGCGGGATGAGGTGAATGGAGGTTCAGAGCAGCTGGACATCAGCACTAGTAGCAGCAGGTATGTTGATGCCCTTACGTGTAGTGTTTGTTGACTGAAGGCACTAACAAAAAAATTCCATGATATGGGCTTTCTGTAGTTTGCAGGTATATTAATGGGTAGCACATTTCCTACTAACCTCTCAAGCCAGCCGCTGGTCGGTGCATGAATACGCCCAAAAGCACTGAACCGTGTTGCCAGTTGCATCTGCGTATATGATTTGCAATGTCAGTAGACACCAAGCCTTTTGTGAATCCTGAAGTGTGGACAATATGCATGTTTGAAAGTAAAGACTCGGCAGATATTTAGATACCTGTGATTGTATGAAATGCCTTGAAGCAGATGTCCAACTGAACCTAAAATTTTGTCATGTTCACTAATTCTTGCCAGATCAGTCCACTTAGCATCTGCATGTCTGAGTACTCTTTCCAGCTTCCCATGAGGCCTTCCAACCAATATTTTTCATGTATTTACTTTTTCCTCCTACTCATTTTGTGTGTCCTGCCAATTTATTGATCCTAATAATATTACCTGAAGTAGGCATTTTTTTGAGATCTCACTGTACAGTTTTCTCTGTGCTGTTGCTTCCTCTCTCATAGTTTGCATTGCAGTCAGTCCGTGGGTAAGCACGAGAGCGACATAAAATTGTTGTTCACTTGTTTCCCCATGTCATGTAAATTGAAATCCAGGAGTGAGCAAACTTTGAGGTTAGGCACCACAGGTCAGTCATTGCTGTAACATGGGTCTGATGCTTTGCATGTTTTGCTGTGCACTAACCTAACCTTGCATGCAGCCTACTGCCCAGCTTGATGACCGAAAACGTCCCGTACCAGCCCGTGTTCACCTCGGCACGCTCCAGTTACACCAGACCCATCTCTCCCAGGTTGGTACTACTATTATAATGGTATAATGTGAGTAGTGGGTTCGTAGTTGTTTGTGGTACAATAGACATTTTGCTACATATTTCAATACCAGTGTTTTCTTCCAGTTACTGATTTAACTTTTTTCATTCATCATATCATACAATTTGTGTATGTGCACAGGTTGAATACACTTGACGTGTCTGACCCTGCCAACACAGGCACGCTCCACAAGGCAGGCAGCGTCTCCCAGCTGTTTGGTGAACAGATGCGGCGGGGTGAGTAAACTCCACGTTGCTGCACATATTGTTTGTACAAGTTATTTCTTAACAGGAATAAATAATTGTTTGCCTTTATTTTTTATCTTTTTATATTCAGGTGTCTGAATTTAGGGCAACATGTTAGATTTAAAAATATCATGTAATTTTTTGTCATGTTTCCTTGTTTGGAAACAGATTACACCAGAATTGGAAATGAGACTGAATGGAGAACTCTGATTAATAGAAATATAATCTTTAAACAAAACTTCAAGGTGCAATTGTTGTATGTCAGTCTGTGACTCTGTATGGAACTTTGCATGTGGCTTTTCGCTGAATCTGTTGTATGCAACAAAATTGTATTGCTTTGGTCGTTGTGTGCGCAGACATCAAGCGCGCAGAGAGCATGAAGGTGGAGCTGAAGAAGCCCAAGCGAACGCCAAGCTTCACGACCCGCCGTCGCACTCAGAGTTTCCGTAAGCTGCAACGGCTTGAGCAGTTAGAGCAACTCCCCCCAGTTGAGATCCAGGGCACGCTAGACCGAAAGCATGAGCTGCAGAGCGCTGGCAAGAAAGCGCCCGTCCGCTCATGGAAGACGTTCTACACGGGTGAGAAGCAAGTTTCTCTTCAGCTCCTTGCAGTCTTCCCTCCTCATTTCCTGTGCTCCTTCATTGACTGCTTGCTCAGTCAAACACAGTCTTAAAGTATTCATTATCTTCCTTGAATGCCTTCCAGTCATCTTTAGTTAAGTTCATCCACTCACCTCATTCTAGGACCAAGGTTAAGAATGCACAGCGTTACACCTCCGCTCCCCGATATATCTGCATGGCGTGGTGTTTAATTAAATACTAGGAACATGTACCCTTACTCTATCCATCTGGTCTCTTATGAAAAACACATTTTGTTTAAGAATGTTTTTTACAACATTGACAGAAATGCTTGCATTAAAGAAGAATTATTATTGTATTGCATTTGGTTGTTGACTGTTGTCAGAGGTTTCCCTTTCTCTTGAACTCTACGTCTGTCACCCGTGCAGATCGCGTCCTAAGTTACTGACTGTGTTGCAGTGTTGTGCGGCCAGCTGCTGTGCTTCTTCCGTGACCACGACGACTTCCTGGCCAGCAAGGCTGCCACATCACCCATCATAGTGTTCAAGGCACACTGTGAGAAGGCCGAGGACTATACCAAACGCAAACACGTGTTCAGGTTTGAATTGTTTCAGTGTCGATCATGTTTTTGCCGAAGTTAATAGTTTTGCTAAGACAAATACACTGTTGTGATTAATGTTTCTGCATCATAGAACGTAGCAAATATAAGTAGTGACCTATATTTTTGTTGGAAAATACTTGTTAACTTTTTTTGTCAATTTTTTGTTTTGTTTATTACATGGTTTAGGTCTCTCCAAGTGTAAGAAAATATTGATGTTGACTTATACAACCTAATACTGTGTGTGAAACAGTTCTTCATGCAGGATAAGCTTAATCATATCAAAACACAATTTTAACACAGGATTTATTTTGAAATTTACTGCTCGATATCACTCTCATACCATTCTTCATTTCACATTGTAAACAGAGAGAGTTGCCTAGGTTGGCACTTTTGGAGCTGAGATAGCTCAGTTAGTATAGTGATCAGGCTACAAGCTGGGTAAATGGGTTTCAGTATGAGACAGAAAATGATTTTTCTCTTTGCCACAACATCCAGACTGTTTCCAGGGCCCAACTAGTCTCCTGTCTAATGACTGCTAGTGTTTCTTCCTTCCTCTGTGATAAAGCAACTGGAGCTTGAAGCTAACCACTCACCTCCATCTAGTGACAAGGTTAAGAATGCATGGAGCTATACCTCCACTCTCCATATGTCCGGCAGGGACTACTTGATTTTACGTAAGTTTCTGAGACTTGTGGAATGTGGTTGGCAGGCTGTGTTGCACTGATGGCTCAGAGTTCCTGTTCCTGGCAGCAACAGAACGTGAGATGGAGGACTGGGTAAACAAGATCTCGTTCCATGCCAAACTGCCTCCTAGTCTGCAGCTGCTCAGCTATGATGACTCACACAAGGTGGGCCTGCTGAATTTTACCCAAATGTTTCTTTAATCCGATAGAAGAGCAGACCTGGTTCTTGTAGTAGTGGTAGCCAAAACACGGTTTCTTGAACCAAAGACATGATCTGTCTCTTTGAATACAATTTGCAGAGCCCTGGCAGTGTGAGTCGATTGCCGGTAGCAGGAGACGTGAGGGATGCCGGGGGAGATGCCAGCTCGGCGTCCAGCCGAGGTTCGTCTCCGGAACCCCCTGAGCAGATGCAGGTGTTGCAGCAGCAGTCAGGGGACAGGCCCCCCGTACCACCCCGGGGAGCTCCTCCACCCATACCGACGCGCTCGCCCAGTACAGAGGGAGTCGTCTTGAGGAACAAGTTGCCTGCAACCGGTGAGTGCTAGCGACCTGCTGGAAATTGGGGAGATCACGCGTGGATCGGTATGTAACG